ATCCTGTTCAGATGCACTTCACAGGTACTTTCTACTAGAGGTATAGAACATCTATCTGATGTAGTAGTCAAGAAAGAAAAGAGTAATCTGAAGAAATGAAACTTTACATTCAAGAGATATGCAAATCACAGAAAGCATGCTCACTTGTAATGATGCCATTCACTTTTTTTTGCAAACTTTGTTAACATTCACATAATATATCCTTAATTCATTTAATTAAAATCCACATCTTACCATGAACTCTTGATCCTGTACTAGAATCATCACTAATACCTTGTGGACTTACATCTTCAAAGGATGTAGTATCTATACACAGAGACATAAAAGAAGATGTGAAATAAAATAAAATGAAAAGGTTATTGAAATATTTATCATCTGTAATAAATACGAAAATATTTTCCAAACCAATCCATTTTTACTTAGGTAACATTCTGTAGGAAAAATCCTGAAACATTTTATAACTGCAGTATCTTAGCACCGCAACTCAATTACTAAGGTTGCTTTTTGCCGAAAACCTTAAAATACAAGTAAAGCCAATATTTACATGAAATTGCTATTACACATAGTCACATCACGATGCAAGACGCTTCTACCTATACCTTTATTATTTAGCAACTGCTTGGATCTGAAGCCTGTAGAAGAGTTGACAGTTGCAAAGTTGATAGCTGTAGTAGAGAAGGCCATAGCTCCCAATTCTTTCCTCCTTTTACCCGCAGATATATCATCAGGACCCTCCAGATGCTCAGAACTACCTGTCCATTGTCCTCCTGCTAGGACCATGGACTGCACCAGGTCATTCATGGCTGGGATGCAAATGAAAGCAAATGATCAGCATGGTCAATGTATTTGCTTCTGTTCTTATTTTGTATTGCAAAATGTTTGACAGTTTTCTAAACATTAAAGCTACTGAATACTGGAAGATAAACACACAAGATCATCCATGTTATGACATGCAATCAGCTCAATGAATGAGAAGTGGTGTAAGGCGGAGACTTCTTTCAGCTCAGTATGGTTCTTAAAACTGATTTTATTAGGTATAATCGCCATGCTTGCGCTGCAATGGTATGTAATGTGTATGTTAGAAGATTTGATATACTGTTTGCAATGATAAAATGGAATGAATGAGGATAAAAATGGGCAAAGGTGCTAGTACAATATAATGTCAACAATGATACGGGATCCTTGTACAGTGCAGGTTACTGCAGGGATACTGTATTTTACATAACAACAAATAAAAGGATCTGAAAAAGATGACATCTGATGATATTCACCTTTACTTCACAAAACTAGGGAAAGCTGTCCACCCCGCCTCATGAAATAAAATTTTTAAAAAATAAAATAGATTAAAATAAAATTACTCAGTACAACATTTTGGCAACAACGACTGATGAATAACTGAAGAGTGACAGACCACCATACAGCCTTGCACTATTTTCTACACTTTCTTCAAACAAAAAATTACAGTGATTTCTTAACAAAAGGCTTATGAAATGTGTAATTTGGAACTATTTAGGTTAACACAGTGCACTGTAAATTTATATACACATAGAGACATGTGTATATAGACAACTATGTATACAAATAAATGCAATCACAATGCACTGAATATATATATGTATGTGTGTGTGCTAGTGCATGTAAATGTGTGGGTACGTGTGTGCGTGTGTGCACATGTGCACATATATAAAGTATTCAGTGCCAAAGTTTAAAAAAAAAGAAAAAAGAAATAGCTCCAGCTCCTTGTATTGTAGCAGGACTTGCACATTGCAAAATAGGAGGAAAAATACAGCGCAGTCCAGGGAGAGGTTAGTGAAAAATTAGTAATGGAAGCCAGTGTAGCCATTTAAAAGAAGCTGAACTGTCATAAAGTCTTACACATGGAGCGACGGTAGAAGGCCTTCATTTTGTCTTTTTCCTTCGGTCTGTTCCTCAAAAAGGGCAGTCTTTTCAGTGCAACCACTTTTATGTCATAGCATGAGGAAAAACGGAAACAGGGAAATGAAAGAAAAAAAGGGAGAAGAACAGATGGAAGTTAAATGTTGAAACTAAGGACAGAAATGAATGTCTGAGTTTAAGCTATGTATGCTACGCTAAAAACTATCATTCTCATGCTTCTGTGTGATAATGAAATATGAAAACTACACTAAGAAAACTTTAATATACTCAGAAATGCACTGAAAATAATGGTGAAGAGTGTAACACAGTTTGAAAGTTCTAACTGCCAAGCTCTTGAAAAAATACACGTAACTTCTTTGCAGACTATTTAGTTTTTACTGTGAAAAATAACATTGCTTGAACATAAAGAAAAATGTGAAACAAAAAAGCTTAAAATGAAAACAACTCTAAGTACAACTTCTACTTTAAAATATGTTCACATCATTATTTTTTGAGATTAATAACTTTTGTAACGTTTTGCCCTGCATCTCTAGTAGGACACAATCTATTATCAGTCTTCATTTGTTACATTTTGTGCTCATTTAATAATTTTGGTCATCTACTATCTTCTAGAAAAATCACACGGACCTTATGTTCAATCTGCTGTTTGTGTGCAGTGACTTTAGCATCAAGATTTATTGGTTGGAATGGTATACACCACATTTTTTAGCTGTAAAAATACCGAAGATTAAAAAAAAA